ATGTAGGGACTCCATGGGAAGCAGCTTCAAGAAAGAACAAAACCTCCGTGCAGCTGTGGCTCCTGCAAGCATCGCCGCATCCAAGGCTCCAGCCGAAGCCGCCGCCCGTCCACGGAGGAGAAACACACATGGGGAATGGGGTGAAGAGCTGATGCTCTGATTTTTTTTGCAGCGAGTTTAGCCGAGCAGCATAGAGTACATAGTCACTATCTACCTATCTATCTATCTATCTACCTATCTTTTTTTTTCTTCCCTTTTCTTTCTTATTTCTTTCTCTCCTTCCTTTCTTTTCTATCTTTCTTTTTTTCTTATCTATATTTCTTTCTTTTCTTTCTTTCTTTCTTTCTTTCTTTATTTCTCTCACTCTCTTTTGGGGAAAACAAAGGAGGAGGCGCACTCAGCAACAATTTGAAGCTTGCTAGCTGCCGGAACCTCCGACAAGTTGGGAATTTGCCGTACCCATGCGAACAAACAGCACGGGAGCGTCAGGCGATAGGCTGCGTGTCGGGTGATGGGTGCGATTGCGGCAGGAGAAGGTTCCAAAAGCTCGACTGTCTCTGAGACCTGCAGTTCCGGTGCCGAAGCAGTGAGCCCCTCAAGTCAGGGATCGGTTCGAGAAGTGCTACCTGGCTCTCAACACGCCACTGGGTTTTGCCACATGCGGCGATGTCCAGTACTTCGAGTTGTCCAACAAAGACTGAGATCGACGTTTACAGGTGGTTCACAAGCACTCCAGCGGCTGGAGAAGAGTTTTGACACACAGAAACACGCAAACGCAGACAGTCTTCCTTCGCCTGACTCAGCTCCGAAGGCTTGATTTGGATGTTGGTGAAGTGCGCGCAGTGCAGTGAGAGGTGCATTCCTCATCACTTGGCCGGCGAGATTCATGGTATGTGCAGCTTGGATTGAAGCAGGAGTGCAGCGCTCTTCCACAAATCTCCTACTGCAAGCATGATGTCATCTTGTAAGTTGCTGTGCCTTTGCGTGTTGGACTTTGTGTTGCACTGACTTGCATATAAAGCGAGGAATAGGCAGGGCTTTCAAATCATCTAGTTGCTGAATATCAACCGATCCACCAGCGGACAAGCCGAGGCATTGTCCTGGATGATTGCAAGCGGCACCTGTGCGCCTCAGCGCAAATTCAATGAATGACCTTGTGGAGGCGTGCAAAGGCTGAAAGAACTGACCAGGCCCAGTGTTTTTACTAGCCTCTTCCTGACATACAGTTTTGGGACAACCTGCCCCCAAAAGCAGTGGCTTGTGGCATGCAAGTTGCCTTCTTTCTTTCCACGTTTGTTGCCTGCACGTGCGCTTTGATGATCCTTGATGTTCTTGAATCAAGTCATCAATTTGTGGCCAAGTCATCTCGCACATGTCGCGCCCGCAAGCATGCTCCAACGCAAGCTAGTTCCAAATCAGCGCTTTGCTGCTCTGCAGGCCATTTGTGGGAGACCTCTCATTTCCAGATTCAATCATCTGACAGCACCTTCTTGCTTTAGGAAACCTTGCGGGACTGGCCCTAAGCACAGCTGGGTATGGAATGGTTCGACCCAAATGGCCATGGCTCAAAATCCAAATCGTACCCCCAGTGAACATCCAAATCCAAACTAAAATAGGTTCTAAAATGGGGGTAAAGTTCACCGAAAATCCGCAAAATGGGATCCCATTGGTTTTGACAACCACGGCCAAATGCTTCGACGATTTGCACTTCACAGGTCCCACTCTCCGTGCCTGGGGCGACGTGCTGTGCTGGCGCCGCTGGGGGCTCTCGCCGGCGCCTGAGACCCGAGAGCTGGCGGCGTGCGCGGACGGTTAGGTCGGCCTTAAAGAAAATGGACGGCTTTCTAGGATTCCAACAACGAATCTGCTTGGACAGTTCCAAGGGTATATGCAGAACAACCATCTTGTCAGATCGTTTCATGGCTTGGAGTAGACTGAGCTGCAAGTGGACGTGTGTTGGTTCTCAGTCACTTGAGGTTGTTTCACAGATGTCAGAGCTGAAGCGCACGAGGTTGAAGAGCCACGAAGCTTTGAATTCAACTCCAGCTTTCTTGGCAAAACCGGAGCCGGGATTTGAGAGGCTCCTTCTGCTGGCCTTCCTGGTGTCCGTTTCCGCGGTCTCGCACCTCGGAATTCTTGGGATGGGTTCAGTAGGGAGGAAAGTTTATGGCTCGCGCTGAAGTGGAGCCGAAAGGGATCCGAAGTTCGCTAATAGCTGGGATCGAGCCTCTGGCCAAAGCATCTGTCGGCGGTGCCCTTTACTTGAAGAATGTCATGCACAAGCACATCTTGAAGGTGGACGAGTCCAATCACTCGCACCGACTTGACAAAAACGATGGCAATAAATGCCTGCCCTTTTCAGGATATTCATTGGCTCCAAGCTCAGGTTTGTGTTGGGGACCCGAGCGTAGCTTTCGTCATGGGCTGCTGTCATGTACCTTCGAAGCTACATACTCCACATACCACGGGGCCTCCCGGCAAATTGGGGTAGCTAGGGCCCGCGGTGTGTTAAGCTCTCAATGGCTAATGTGTCGAAACAGAAGCTTGGATCTCCCCCTCAATAAAACACAACAACTTCCCCCCCAAGAAAAAAGCACAGAAAGGAAAGGAAACGACCTCAGTGAAAATAACACAATTCGTGGTGTTTCCTTTTGGCTTCCTTTTCAAAGCGCCCAGGGCCATGGCCTTTGCGGCGGAATCCACGGACGCTTGGTCCGTCGCCGCATCCGCGCTGAGGCCGGTTTCGGTGGAGCCGCTGCAAATTGTTGGCATTGGAGTTGGGTTCGGGCCATTTTCTTTCAAGGCACGATGGAGATCTTCGGAACAGTTGTGGCTGTGCTCGGAGGTACATTGTCCTTGTCGCCAAGATCTTGCTCATCGTGGTGGCATGGAAGCAAGCAATCTTCGGTCGACTGAAGCCGCTCAGTGGATTCTGCATCTCAGGTGCTGCTCATTTCTTTGACCCACAAAGCCAAGTGGTTAGCCGCACCCTCAGCACTCTGTGAAGGCATACGGCCACCTCGCCATGTCCCAAGGGTAGCAAATGGGTGTGCCCTTGTTAAGGGGGCGGTTCCCAAAATGGTGGTGTTCCTTTTGTTTTCCCCAAAAAAGCCAACCAAAACGGGGGCACCCTCCAAAACACCCAGCCAAGTGGTGCAGGTTCCCATCCGCTCTCTGGGGCGCATCTTTTGGCGCTCCTTCCGCTGGAGACGAGCGCCGCAGATGTGGCCCTTCTACCGGGAGGCGGTCGGCAGAGGCGCCGAAAATCGCGAAACGGGCCGGGCTGTTTGGCTTTAGTCGTCGCGAAGGCTTAAAGAGATTCATGCAATTTGCTGAAGGCGGTGGTTGTGTTATTCGCACGCTTTGAGGAATCCACGGCGTTGTGCTCAAGCAATTCCGGATTTAGGAAGCCAGTTCATGGAATCTGCAAGGCAGGTGCGAAGGATATCTGGGAAGGCATGCGGGAAGGGTGGGCAAGCTGTGCAACGACAGTTAATGATTGAGGCCATCATCCTCTCTCTGTGGGTAGTCGGGCCGTCGTGGTCGGGTAGCTGGGTAGGCGGGTAGTCAGTCTCTGTCCTCCACCAGAATCTGGCATTCATCCAACATGCGGCTCCATGATGGTGCCTGCATTGCCCGGCGAGCGACACCAACACCATCCAACAGCCAACATGTGAATGGTACCAGTTTGGGCTAGGTGCACACCCATTTTAGTCTATTTCAGTGGGGATTGGGATGTTCAGTGGGGGTACGATTTGGATTTTGAGCCATGGCCATGTGGCCACTCAGTTTCATCTCGGGTTTCCGGCACTGCTTCTCCTCCGGCTCGATCTCTCTCAGGAGCTTCCTCTCCAGCGACTCCATAAGGCACGGGCCACCGGAAGGCGTTTCTTCCTGAAGCCGGGAGCGCCGAGAGGTATGGCCAGTGGCTGATTGAAGGTGACCTAGGGGGGGATGACATGGCTAGCTGACCTTTTGCAGTGTACAACTTGCAGCACGGAGTGCGTAGTGCCACAGAACGAAGAGACACTTTGAAGCATTGACCATTTGGCTGTGGGTCAAAAATAGGTACCCAAAATGGAGCCCAAGACTAAAAACCTGCGGTCCCCTTATGGGTGTATTTTGACCCATACCCATTTGACAAGGAGAGACACACTGTTGGCAGTTCCTATGCAGCGGTTCCGACGGATTTGCCAGGCGTCCCACTTTGCAGCTTGGCCATGTGCAAGAAGCACGAGGCCCATGTTGCCGGCCGTCCGCGACAGCCAGCTGCAACACAAACATCTTCTTGCCCATGTGGGTATGGGTGAAAATTAAGCAATCGGGGGACCGCAGATTTTAGTCCATGTTTCCATTTACCAGGGTTCCATTTTGGGTACCTATTTTTGACTCTCAGCCACGCGGAGCTGACATTTGAACCACCATGTCGCAAGAGTTTGTTTGATGAGTCTTGCCAGCTCCATGAGCCCAACAAGTGACCGAACAAACCTTCACGCTGTTGGGAAGAGTGCTAACCCCATAGAACAAGGACACCAAACAGGTAGCCCATGTCGGTCGCCGTTCCGAGCCGGGCGGCCTGTGTTGCACTGCCAGGCCGAGGCTGCGCCGCAAGCATTTGGCGCAAAGACCGCCGTGTGCGAAAGCGCCGTGTGCGAAAACGTCGCTGGGGGGCGTGAACTGTCGCCATGGCACAATGGCCAGCTCTGGTTCGGGTGAAGTGCTGCTTGCTGACCATGGAATCCAACTGCAGCACCATTGGATCCATCCCAGGAACCAGACAAAGCTGTAATTCTTCGATGCACCATCGCGCACGACTTTGAGCAGACTTGTTGGAATGTAAGTGGAGCATCCAGGAGAACGTGACTCAATTACATCTTCTTGCTTCCCGCTCATTTGTATCCAATGGTTTGAATTGCGTAAAAGTTCAGCTCTCTTTCGCTTTCTTGGTACCTGAGGCCAAGAGGTTTTCCGGTTCTCGTTTCAAGCCTGGTGCCCCTGAGGCAACGCACAGAAAGAGGAGGCCTCGACCAGTGAAAGCGCTTTGCGAGCCACATCTTCACTCCGGGCATTGGTGGCAGCGGCAGGTGTGAGGTTTGAGATTGTTCAGGGAGGGCCTAGCACCGCTCCAGTTGAGTTGCATCCTTCCCAACACGGGTCTGTGGGCGAGGTGTGCAAATCCAAGACCTTGGTTTGACTTGACCCCTCACTCGCCCAGGGTGTGGGGAATGAATGAGCCGGTTTTGGGGGGATTCCCTTAAAGGAAGCCAACTCGGTGATGGTTTTTGGACTCGTGCCATGTCGCAGTCGGGGCTGAAGTTGCCAGGTCCGGAGCCTGGCCTTGAGCCTTGTGAGGGAGCCGGGGGGCCCGGAGTGGACCCCTCCGTGCGCGCAGGGCGCGCGTGAGATCTCCCGAGGTTGGGCGAGAGGTTGGACTTTTTGGGTTTTGCTTTGAGGGGGGACTGTGAGTAGGCTGAGGATTTTCATGGGACTTGGTGTTTGGTTGCTTCGAAGTGGGGTGTGGGACTAGGTAGGCTTAGGATTAAGTTGCACTGGCAGTCCCAAGCTTCCGCCTCAAGGTCCGAGGATTGAAAAGTTCCGTGGACTCTGGCTCAAGCTTCTTTCGGTTCGCTCAAAGCCCTAGCGTTCCACGGGCCGTGGATCGCAACTGCGTGGATCTCAAGGCTCTAAGAAGGGCCGGATCTCGCTCATTTGTGACACCAACTTGCCACTAGCAAGTTGTCTGCAGCTTGACTGAATTACTGATTTCGCGCAAGGGAGGGATTATCCAGACTGGGAGCCATGTTTGAGCGGCCTGCACGGATCCAGGACACAAGCTTGCCTTTCAGAGGCATAAGGCCGTTGACATATGTTTCATTTGGGTTTGTGTCAAACTAGGGTGACCCCAAAATGGCTGGTTTCCTTTTGGTTTCTCTCCAAGCCACCCCAAAAAATGGTACCCTCGAATGAGACGAGCCATGTCTCGAGGCAAAGGATGTTGGCGATGCGCGCTTTGGTGTGCTTCCTGCTATATGGCACGTGCGTGGGGTTGGCTCCAGAGTCCCTCGGCAGAGATCCAGTTCCAACCTTTGTGGCTGGTGAACATGAAACCAACAGGAAACCCGACGAAAGCGGTGTTTGGGGTAAACCCAAACCCCTGTTTCGACCCACACTTTCTTCCCCTGTGATTGGCGATTCATGAGAACCCTTTCAGATCGGCCCTAACGTGATAGACACTTGATGCAAGTTACATGCCATTCATCTTGGTTGGCTTTATTACCGTTGTCGTGGGCTCCCAGCCGGTATTATTTCAGCCATGCTTTCCAAGTCACAGACTCTGCGGCGACATGCGAAGATATGTCGTCCCTAGAGATCGCTTTTGGTGTGGTCTTCAAATGAATGCTAAAAGGCAATCAACGAGTCAGCTACTTCTCGAAGGGTTTTCCAATACAGAATATAGGTTGATCGCGCTCATTCTGTTCTTGTTTGCCACATTAGGTGTTTGTGAATGATATATTCTGATGGGCAAAAGCCATTTGTAGTCTCCTGTCATGGCGGGTTGCATTGCAGTTCAGTCGACAGTTGTATTGCATTGTATTTGCGTGTGATGACCCATTTTCAAGGCCCATTCAGAGCCAGCCCTGACCACTGATTTTGATGTTGCGACAGCATGGTCAGCAGACGCCGCCTAAGTGCGCAACGCCATTGGCAATGTTTGCTCGTAGATGGGTTGTGGGAGACTGTGCAGACTTTACTGAGGTTGCCCGCTGATGATGAATGTGCTGCTGACTCTTCCTGTGCGCTGAGCCACAGCTGACTCAGAGAACAGAGAGGCAAGGGCGAGGACTGACTTCTGTCTAAGCAGCAACATCTAGCCGTCTAGCAATAAAAGAAGCAATTGGCCCTTTCGTCGGCCTACAGAGTGCAGGCAATTGAATGGAAGTGTGAAGTTGCCTTGACACGCAGGTGGTTGATAGCCAACCAGGTGTTTTGTTATAAGGTCTAGCCTTTCCAGAAGTTTTGCAGGGAGCTCACTTGGCCAGGCGTCTCCCTTTTGGGCAGACTACAATGATTCGTGCCCAGGAACGCACTTCAGCGAGCTGGCAGAAGAAAGGCGGATATCGAAGCTGAGCAGCTTGGCTTGCAGTGAGTCACAGCAAGTTGGGCTCGCTCCGGTGCCATTCGGGCTACCGCGACGCTGGGACCATGATTGGCATACTGGCCGGACTTCTGCACGCAAGCCATTAATGTATCAATCGACCTATTCACAGCACCATTCCGCTTCTTCAAGACGAAGCAGTCAGGCGCTAGATGCTATCTCATCAGGTAGCGGCAGAGTCGTTCAGTCAAGGAGCGATGAAAGATTTGTTGCACAACTTGACAAAGCCCACGTTTACTTGCAATTGGGCATTTGACATTTGGGTCAGACATTGTCATCCATCAACTGGGCCGAACAAAATGGTGACATCAATGTTGGTCCTCACTCTGCTACCCGTTCTGTGACGGGCTCTAGTGAATCTAGAATCAGCAAACGATCAACATGTGACCTGGCTCGGCAATTCTCAGGTTGTGAGCAGATTTGTACTTAAAGCTGGGACGGTGAAAGTCACACACCAGGCAACTGCTAAGACTCCAAAGTGAGAATTGTCAAGGAACAGCACCAGGCATAGACTGCCGCTTAGCCCCAGGGCCATTATGAGCCCAAGATCAGGAGCATACAACTTGTAATTTCTGGGATGTTCAGACCAAGATTCAAGCGTCCCCACACCCTAGCCCTTCAACAGCTACGGGTGCGCGGGATTATCGCCCAATGCACACGAACCATGGTCAATATTCTGGATACTCATGGGACATGGGCTTGTATGAACCCCTTTGGCTTTCTGCTTTTCACAGAGACTGAGCGCCCCCAACCCCTATTGGCCATAGTAGGTTCTACCTGATCTCATAAGGCTGGTAAGGCAGAATATATGCCTCATAGCGTGGGTGTGTCTGCTTTTGGGGAAACTCCAAACTTGTTGGCTTCCTTGAATTCCCTTAAAACCAACCAAAAAAAGGGTACCAGCAAAAAAAGGCGAGGGAGCCATGTTGGAACCAGAGCTCAACAGCTGAAACGGGTGGGGTCCCATAGGCAGGAGGAGCAGCTCGAGGACCTCGGCATCTTGGTGCGTGACCGCGACCGGGTGAAAGGAGGCCAAATCCAGGAAGGTTTTTGTTGGGGGTCATTCCATTTCTCATTTTTGGCTGAGAAGCCGCAAGCTTTTTGGAGACGAAAGGCCTCCTCTTCTCCTCGGTTGGGAAGCCAAAAGGAAACCCGAAGCCATTTTCAGGTCTGAATCCGGATTTGACACGCACCCGTCTAGAGAGCCACTGGGAGTTTTCCTGATTACACCCTGAGAACAGGTTTTGGTCGTCTGTTTCTGTCCAAAGCTTTGGGCCAACGCATTCAAGCTCATGCTTTCGCCCTCAAGGGCTGATGTGGAGCAATCTGACTATCCACTTGAGCCATCTAGGTTGAGATGTTGGATTGTCAGGGGCCAAACCTCAAACCTGCGCTCATGAGACGATGTTATGTGATGCGCTATGATATGTTGGATCCCTGGTCATGAATGTCGACTGAAGCCTGGAAGCTGGCTTGCTTAGCCTTGCTTGATGGTTTATTAAGCAGCTGTTGGGGAAAGTTGCCGCTTGCGGGCTCTCCCAATCCAACCTAGCAAATGCAAGACCCCAAGAGGTAGTATGAAAGTTGTGATATTATGTGTTGACCTTGCTTGAGGTGCAAAGCCTGGGGCAGAACAAGCGTCACGATGAAGTGAGGGGTCGCAGCCATTCTTGAGCCCCGTCTCAAGTGTTGCCATGAAAGTCGCACCACCTGGGCTTCTTCTCCCGCGCACGGGTCAGTTTGTCATTCAACCGTGGCACTTTGCCCACTGCGGCCAGAGCCGCCAGCTGCAACCAGTTCAGTCCAGATCCGAGGGGGTGCCAGCGAAGAGGCGAACGTTTCCTGGCAAGGCGGGAGTGAGTGGGCCCACGGAACTAAACTGGAGAACTGATAGATGATCTGCTGCAAGCAAATGACTTTGCTTGTCTCAAGGTGGACAGTGCTTGGAAGGCTGATCGGAGTTTGATTGGCTCGCTTCTGATGTGCCAAGAGCATGTGGAGTGTGTCAAACCAAGTTGAACTCTCCCAACCTTCGGTTTCCTTTGCCACCAGGGGTGCAGCTAGTCTTGGACCGCCTTCTGTGCCCTATTTTTTTGGCCGTGTTTTGCATACGTTTTTTTTCTTCTTCTTCTTCTTTTTTTTCCCCCCCCGATCCCATGGGGAGGTGTTCGTGGCTCGCCAGCTACGCCAGGCGCCCGGGAGACGGGCACCTCCTGCATGTGGTACGGCTGCGACCAGGTGAAGTTGGGCCCGACGGAGTGCCATCACTGGAGGCACGAATTACAAAACGCGGGAGCCAGGCCCAAAACGTTTTTAGGGGTGGTTTGCGTTCGGAGAGAGATGCAATTGACGAATAGAGGCATGTATATGTTTGTACACAACATGTATGATCTATGTATATATATATATACATATGTATATTATGGCTGTATAAGTGAATATATTTGTATAAACATATATGCACACACACACACTCACCCTGAGACAATTTGAGCAAGATGCTGTCTTGCAGTGCTTGGCGCTGCCCTTACCGAAGTAGAAACTTGTATCCTCAGGGCACTCACAATGGTCACAAGGCTTGCGTCTCTGTTGCAGTTTCTACGTGCTTGCAGCGGTGCGCCATATCTTGGTGCACTTGGCTTTCAGGCAAGCCGTGAGTCTTTACACGAGGTTTTGTAGCAATACTGACAAAGGGACAGCCTATAGTAAAATTTGTGGCTCGATAGCTTTCGCGATGCGTTTTGGTCTATCAATCTATGTCCCAGACCATTTGCTAGAAGGAGCATGAACGCGTCGAGTGGCCGACATTGCCCCGTGTGTAAAATGGGTCCGGACTAACTTTGGGCTCATGGCATTGGGCAGCTGGGATCAAATGGATTCGAGGTGCATCTGCCGCGATGCCTACTACTACAACGGCGAGCCTTGGATCACGGCATGGTGTTGCGGGTCATAGGAAAACAATAAGGGCACGACTTACCGAACAGACGCCGGCCACGAAGCCACGAAGGCCATGGCGTGAAAGCCTTGACCCGACTGGCTTCAGGGCCACACCAACAAGCTTCAGAATCGTCTCGGCGGCTGAAATTTCAAGCAGCATGCCGCCTGCCCCCCCGCCTCATGCTACCGAGGTGTTTCAGGTTTGGAGTGGTGAGTTGGCTTTAAGAACAAGCATGGTATCAAGCATGTTTATCCGGACACA